TCACTGCCTTGCAAATTTTTCCTTTTCAGTAGCTATTCAATTCCCTTTTGAAAGCTACCATCGAATCTTCTTCCACCAACCTTTTAGGCAGTAAATATAACTGTTCGTATATACACCATATACAATGTACATAAATATAAATATAAACATAACTGCTCTAGATTGGTAAAGCAAATGAGTGGTCTTCTGCAAACTGTACTCTTGTGAGCCATAACTGTATTAGGGAGATGGGTCTGGTAGAGTGTTTGCACTTTTCTGGTGGTTGCGAATTATTTTTCTTTGAGAGATTGAATCTGCCACCCCATTCTCCCGATGCAGACAGTCTGGATTCTGGATTTAGTTGGATGCTTTCTCTGATTTCTGTTAATTTGGCCATCTTGGTATTGACTTTGCTAACTTTGTCCCCAATTTTTTTTAATGAGATTAAATATGAGTCAGGCCAGTTGATCCATTGAATCATGCGTCTGTACAAACAACAGGAGGGGTAAGAGAAATTGATCAGGGCAATCTTGGTACAGCAGGATATCTCTAGATATCTTTAATTTGTCTTGCACAATTCTTCTGTTGCCCGTAGGTTTTCTGTTTCTATTTTTACATAGGATTTTGTATGATATCTTCCCAGGGATGAGGAAAAATAGATTCAGTATTTTATAATGGCACAGCGATCATATAATAATCCAAGTATTTGATGCAGCACTTTATCAAAGCGCATTTATTGCAAAATGGAGTGAGTGACTGTTTTTTGTAGGTGAACGCAGCAGCCTACTTGCGCACAACAATGTCCCACAAACAGCCAGGAAGTGAATGACTGATTTTATCTGGGGGATTGTTGTCCAGCATGCGGGGAGAAATTCCCTTCTCTTTTTAAGTAGTGCCATGGGATTTTTGACATTCACCTGAATAGACAGAAGGGACCTCAGTTTAACGTCTGACGCCACCTCCGACAATGTAATGGCTCTGATGCACTGCACTGATGTGACATGCCCTAGACACGAGCTCAAAGTCCTGACATGGGGCTTTTTGGGAATCCCAAGAAAATCTTCTACAAATGATGTCTTCAGCAGAGGTCTTGCCACCTAATGTCCCTGGCCAACAGTCACCCATCAGTCACTTACTTCATGGCTGTTCATGGGACATTACTGCGTGCAAATTGGCTGCTGCGTTGGGCCACAAAATAGTCAGTCACTGAACTTTACAGTGTATCCTGTGAAACACTTCAAGACATCTCGATGATGTGATGAGGTGCTATATTAAATTATCAAGATTTATTATTATAATAATATTACTTTTACCCTGGTAGATATTTGGAGGTTGTTTTTACTTTATACTAACTCCCAATAGAATTTGCTCATCAAATTTTTACTGTCAAAGGGATTCATGAAATATTATGTTGGAGAATTTAATTTAAACCATGTCTTTCAGCAATATCAATTTACCATTCTATTCTAGTAGATATATTTATTAAGGGATGCTGTTTTATAACTACAGCTTAAAAAAAGGCTATAATTCAACACCGTTCAATCTGTTATGATCGACTCTTGGTGCTTTTTCATCTTTTCCAAACAAAAGAGGAATCCAGTTAACTCCCCCAGACTCTCGTCAATGCCATTAAAAGGAGTGTGAGAAAAGCACAGTTTGTTTTTTCCTCTGATGCTTTAACGCTGGCTGCCGCTTTTGCGTCCACAAAATACAGAGTCACTCCACCTTCCAGTATGTCCCGTTAAGCACTTTAGATGCCTCGATGACGTGATGAGGTGCTATATCAAATGCAAGGGTTATTATTTTCACATCAGTTTCTGACAATACATGTCACTGTCAATAACATGGGTAGTGAATGGAACAACACTTACCAGTCACCATGTCATTCCCTCTGTGTTTTACTGGACTATCTCATTCAACAAGTGATGACATTTTAATTGTTCTCTTCTTTAAACTGGAATCTTTATTAAAGTTCTCCAGTTTGAATTCACAGTCGAGGCTGGCACTCTATTGCAGTCCTGGTGGCTGATTGCTTTTTCAGAGGTGCCGTCCGTTGTTAAACCTGTTTGTCTGTTCAGAAATGTTAAATATCCCATCCCACTACAAAGAGAAGGAATCTGGCCAACAATCCCCAGGTGAAAAAAACATTCTCATTCACTTGGCTGTTTGTAAGACTTTGCTGTGTGGAAATTGACTGCCGCGTTTGCCTACAAAAATATATTCACTACACTTTACAGTGAAGCAGTTTGAGAAAAGGTGCTGTAGCAATGCTTATTATTACCTATCATTACATTTATAAAGCAATATATCTAACATTTGTCTGAGTTTAATAATAATATTACTGATACATTTGCAAACCTAATGTGGGGATTGACTAAAGGAGTTTTGAATAATGAGATTATAAAGGGTATAAACATTTTAATATCTGTTTATTAGATTTTCCATTTTACTCAACGATAGGGTTAGGCATCTGTGGTGTGCAAATGCAAATTACACAAATCGCAGTAATATTCAGAGACGTGGGAAGCGTGTGTCTGGTCTGCGTCTCATCATTAATCCTTCATATTGCATGAAAAAGCTATGCAAGAAATAATGGTGAATATTTACAATTTGCTTTTTTCCTTATTGCTTGTTTCTTTTACCACACTTTCTCTAACCTGGAAGTTTGATGTCTTTACGGAGCTGTTTATTATAATAACAATAATGATAATAATATCCTTTGCATTTGATATAGAGCCTTTTCACATCGTTGAGATGTCTCAATGCCCTTCACAGAATATAAGTGAATTGACTATATTTTGTGAGCGGCAGTCAATTGCTCACAGAGGTGTCCTACAAACAGTCGTGGATTTGAGTAACCAATTTTTTTTCTGGAGGGATTATTACCCCTGAAAAGCGATCCACCAATCGACTAACAACCAGGTTCCTAATACTGCTAAGTAAACAGAGGCGTGTGGAGTAGGGAAACTTGCCTCAGGTTTTGCCCTACCCGAGAATCAAACCTGGGTCCTCTCGCTTGTGCTAACCACTATGCTACGGGACTTCGGAGTTTCTGTTTCTGGAGTCAGTGAGAGTGGTTTTCTTAAGGAAATGACAAATGACGTTACTCTTAAGTATATCTAGTGTTCCGTCATCCACAAATGTCTGATTGGCATCAGCATCAGATTTTCACATTAACCTTCATGCTGTCCTTGGGATGTTTGTGTGCTTTACTTCTGCGGTTCATTTGTTCTATAATATAACTTTGACCTGTTTTGATCTGACAGTGATGGTGTTTTTTCTTCAGCGCTTGAACATCTCTGGCTTACTGCGATTTAAAGTGGTCCGGCCCTGTGATCTTACTGAATTCTGTGTTTGGTTTCTTAATGGGCTGGATTGAGGTAGATTCTTATATGCCATCTGGCTATATTGAAATTTAATTCTTGCATGTTTGAAAACACAAATTTCCATTAGCCATGCCATTCATCACATCCGAGAAAAAGAATGTGGAAAGGTACTTGTTACTGTTCATTAGAGAGAGGGATGAGTGTGCTAAGGATGGAAAATGTTTTACTATTCCACTTAGCGACAGTACTCAGCTTAACTACTCCAGGCGAGGTACAGGTAACTGCTGCTCCCAAGTGCTCCTGAGCTTTCTTCAATAAAAACAAGAATAATGCTTGCATTTAATATAGTGCAGTATCTTGTCATTGAGATGTCTCAAAGCGCTTCACAGGATTTATTGTAAAGCGTAGGGACTGGGTACTTTGTAGGCGATCGCAGCAGCCAATTTGTACATTGCAATGTAATCCTTGTAATTGGTATAGTGCTTCATCACATTGTTGAGATGTCTCAAACGCTTCACAGACTATATTGTAAAGTTGATTGACTATGCATTTTGTGGGCAAAACATGGCAGCCACTTGCGCACAGCAGTTTCCCATAATCAGTTTATTTTTTTCAATTTTGTGGCAGTGTCCCTCAACCAATCGTAAGTGAACAACCGTTTTTACCTGTCTTGTTTAAGGTCTGGGAATGTACACTCGTAATTGGTTTTGCTTCTTCAAATTGAAACAGTTTTCAATAGATTTCTTGACCTACAAAAAATACCTATCTGTTTATCCAGCTCGCACTGTATTGAAGCCAGTCCTCTAGATCAATGGCAATGTGTTACTGACAATTTTATATTAAATATGATATTAATTATTTTATATTACATATTATATTAAAACCTCATTTTTAAAATTAAATCATAGCATTTCGCCCGCAAAATGTACAGTCAATTCACTTTACAGCATATTCTGTGAAGCGCTTTGAGTCAACTTAACCACATGATATATCAAATGCAAGTATTATTAATGTTTATGAATCAGTTTATAATAATAATAATATAATCATAATCCTTGCATTTGATATAGCGCTTTTCACGTCGGGAGGACGTCCCAAAGCGCTTCACAGAATATGCTGTAAGTGAATTGACTGTATATTTGTGGGCGAACGCGGCAGCCAATTGCGCACAGCAATGTCCCACAAATAGTCGTAGATTGAAAATGACCAATTTATTGTTGTTTTTTGGTTTTGGAGGGATTATTATTAGGTGTGTGGAGTAAGGAAACTTGCCCAAGGTTTCGCTCGGCCTGGAATTTAACTCAGGTCTCTCACTTGCAAAGCGAGTGCTCTAACCACTGAGCTACAGGACTGTCTAGGTCACACCGTATTGAGGCAGGCCTTTTGAATCAAAGTTAACATGCATGAATCTGGTCATCCACCTCAGCCTGTATTGAAGCCAATCCTTTTTACGGAAACTTGCCTAAGGTATTGCCCTGCCCAGGAATCAAACCTGGGTCATCTTGCTTGTGAGGCTAGTGTTTTAACCATTACGCTACAGGATTCCAAATAAATAAAACAACCAGTTCATCAACACTGAGACCTTTTACAGATGAGAAATAAATTTCCATCTCTGTACAAGGTTCTAGGTGGTCCAAGTAGGATTCGTTTGATAACTAAAGCAATTTTGCTCGCCTCTTTGTTATTTTCATACAGAAAACTTCTGAAGGACTTTGGACTTCCAAGACAAAGCAAGAGCAGTCACCAGGCCAGAACAAGCAAACCCATCACAAGAAAGCCATGGAACAGCACACACCAGACAAAGGTTAAGGAATCGTCTGCTGTCACGATCAATGGCAGAATAGAATTATACAATGAACTCTGCAGAGTCGAGTTAGTGAATCAGGATGTGACCACTCTGAAACCCCGTCGCCAAGAGTTGAGTGAGGTGGGCGTGAAACACTGATCCAACACACGTTCACTTAAAATATGCCGCTTTTCCTAAGATATCCCACTTCTCTGCTCGCCCCCTCCGCTCAGATAACTCAGGGCTTCTGTCCCCCCCACCCCTTCCCAAACCCCTCTCTGTACCACCATCGGTGGCTAAGCCTTCAGCAAGTACAACCCTGAGCTCTGGAGGTGACTGCGTCTATGGTCACCTCGCCCCTCTCAGTTTGTGATCCCGTTTTTGTAAAGCGCTCTGAGATGTTATCCTCTGTGAACGGCAATATATAGCTGCAAATTGTTCTTGTTGTTTTTAGTTCTTCTTTACAATAGTGCAGCTGGAAGAGCCTAATACTTCCCAGTCCTCGGAGATCCCAAATCAGAGAGGATGGGGAGACTAGAAGATGAAGATGCTGGAGTGTAGAGGGCAGAGTAGGAACTGACAAGGATTTTGAAAGATGGAGGTGGGCAGCTGACTCTCAACAGGGTGTCTGATAGATATTCCTTGCAATTGATAATATTCCTTGCATTTGATACAATGCCTTATCAAGTCATTGAGACATCTGAAAGCGCTCCACGGAATTTTTACAATAAAGTGGTGTGTCTATATTTTGGCAGCAAATATGGCAGCCAAATTGCATACAGCAATGTCCTAAATAGTCTTGAAGTTAATGACCAGATTTATCTGGGCATTGGTCAGCCAGGACACCGAGAGAAACTCTGTTTTCTTTTCGAATATGCCCATTATTTCATATTGCTGCATCTCATCTGGGATTCAGAAGCACAATGTTTTTGAAATGCTTTTGCACTATGATCCTGTTCAGGTGAATCAGAGATTTATATTGGAGCAGTGGGTGACTTGTTTCTAAAAATGATTTTTTTTTACATTTCAAAGATCCTTTGTCATGTAAATTGAACACACTGAAAAGCATAATTTCATTGGAAATTTGATTCATTATTAAATTAAAAAGATCAAAACAAATAAAACAACAAAAAAAATCCTTATTATCTTCCAAATCCTGAAACATTTAAATTCTTTTCCCAGGTGAGAATATAGTTCATTAAAATTATAATCCACGATCCTGTGCTATTAATCATTTCACTCCTGTGTTTAGTTGCTCTTTCACATCAAATCACATAAAAGACTGTGTTACAAATCTAAACTGTGGAGAAAGGATGATGAGGGCTGCAGTTAAATTAGAAAAAAAACAATGAAATACCATTTCTATTTTCACCAAATCAGTTTGGATCAATAAGGCAGTACAACCATTTGATATCAACCTTCCAAAATACACCCCCACCCCACCTCCATCACAGCTGACGTGTGTGCGATCACCTGGTCTATGTTTAATCCTCCGCAGTCATTAATTATCTGTCCGCTGCTCTCTCTGATTTTTAATTCACACTCCTCATCTGCAGTAGTTTTCCCTTGATTTGAACCTCTTCACTTAAACACTCGTCCACCCCCAAGCCCAAGGGAATAGGTGGGAGGTTTCAAATTAAATCCCAGTTTTACTTGGATTTACACTGAATTTTATTTCCTTGCACTGATGTTAAGAACAATAATATGAATCCTTGCATTAGATGCAACGCCTTTCAGAGCTGAGTGCTTGAGAGCAAATGATGATCACTTTGTTGGACATCTGCTCAGTAACTAGACTAGAGACCGCTACAGACGGTTGATTCGATTTTGAAATTCTATTGCTAAGCACATCACCTTGGAGCCAGTTCAGCTTCAAGGTGATCCCACCTATATAAAGATGACTTGCGAGAGCCTCACTTGAGCAGAAGCCCAGCAATGTGAGGAGGGAACTGAGTGAGGTGGAACAGAGTGAGAATTCTGTGAAGGAATTTGGTGAGAGTGGGAATTCGGTGCAGAGGGGGAAAGAGGAGCATAATTATAAAATATATAATAGTTATATTAAAATAATACAAAACATATCTGGGAATATGGCAGGACAGATGAGACTGGTTGCATGCACAAGGTATGCCATGTGGGAACTCCAGGATGCTTTGTGTGCCCTGGACAGATGCATGTGTAGGAAGTGCCTCCGGCTGCTCGAGCTTGAACTGAGGCTGAAGAGTTCATGGATCGAACGTTTTAGTGGTCACTCCACAGCCACAGAGGGCTCAGAAGGAGAGTGAGTGGGTGACCACCCGGCATAGTACGAAGAGGGGACGGGCAGTGCAGAAATCCCCTGAGAGTGTGGCACTCACAAACCAGTTCTCTGTACTGCATACAGGTCAGTGTGATGACACCTCTAGTGAGGGGAGTCAAAACCAAATGGATGCACAGGGGATCACAAGGAAGAGTGTCAATGCAATTGTCATTGGGGACACAATGGTGAAAGGAGTAGACAGACGTTCTTCCAACCAGAGATGTGACTCTCACATGGTATGTTGCCTCCCTGGTGCCAGGGTTGAAGACATCACAGTACAGGTACAAAACATTCTATAGGGGAAAGGGGAACATCCAGAAGTAGTGGTCCATGTTGGGAGCCATGATACAAGGAAAATAGGGCTGAGATCTTACAGGGAGAGTATCAGAAGCTAGGAAAAAAGCTAAAGAGTAGGACCTCAAAGGTGGTGATCTCTGGATTACTCCTAGTGCCTCGTGCAACAACAACAACACGATTTCATTTGTATAGTGCCATTCACATTTGAAGACAAGGGTGAGGATCTTGAAGTTGATCCTCTCTGGGACAGGGAGTCAATCAGGGAGCAGAGTTTGGTGCGGATGAGAATGCGGGCGGCAGAGTTTTGAATAATCTGGATTTTATGGATGGTAGTGGATGGGAGGCCAACAAGGAGAGCCGAGAGGTGACAAAGGTGTGGACCAGGGTTTCAGCGGCTTTCGGAGAAAAGTATTGGCGGAGATGGGCGATGCGTCGGAGGTGGAAGAAAGCGGTGCTGGTGAGGGACTGGATGTGGGGGAGGAAGGATAATTGGGGGTCGAACCTGACGCCTAGGTTGCGTACGGGTTCGGAGAGTTTTATGGGGAGGTCAGGTAGTGGAGGAGGTGAGAACCGTGAGATTTTAGACATTGACGAGAGCCAAAGAGTATGGCTTCTGTCTTGTCAACATTCAGCTGAAGGAAATTTGTGCTCACCCAGCCCCTGAGATCTGACAGACAGGCTGACAGAACATCAGAGGACTGGGGGTCGCAAAGTGAAGTAGAAAAATAGAGTTGGGTGTCGTCCGCATACATGTGAAAACGTACCCCATTGTCTGCGGATGACACCCCCAAAAGGGAGCATGTAGATCAGAAAGAGGAGGGGGCCAAGGATGGATCCTTGGGGTACCCCGCAGGTAACTGGGTGAGAGCGTGAGTAGTCCATGGTATTAAAGGGACAGTGGCAGCATGGATATAGAACTGGCTGGGTGATAGAAAGCAGAGAGCATTGGTGAACGGTTGTTTTTCTGACTGGAGAGAAGTGTTCAGTGGTGTCCCCCAGGGGTCAGTATTGGGACTACTGTTGTTTTTGATCTATGTAAATGACCTGGACTTGGGTATAAGGAGTACAATTTCCAGGTTTGCAGATGATACGAAGCTAGGAAAAGTAGTAAACAGTGAGGAGGATAGTAGCAGACTACAAATGGACACAGACAGACTGGCAAAATGGGCAGACCCATGGCAGATGAAGTTTAAAGTGGAAAGATGCGAAGTAATACATTTTGGGAGGAAGAATGAGAAGAAGCAATATAAGCTAGATGGTACAATCTTAAAGGTGGTGGGTGAAGGAACAGAGAGATCTGGGGGTTCATATAAGTAAATCTTTGAATGTGTCAGGACAGGTAGATAAATCTGTTAAAAAAGCATACGGGATACTAGGCTTTATAAACAGGGCCATAGAATACAAAAGTCGGGAAGTTATGATGAACCTTTATAAAACACGGGTTTAGACCACAGCTAGATTACTGTGTTCAATTCTGAGCACCACACTTTAGAAAGGATGGCAAGGCATTGGAGAGGGTGCAAAGGAGATTTACCAGGATGGTACCAGGAATGAGGGACTTCAGTTATCAGGAGAGTCCAGAGAAGCTGGGATTATTCTCCTTGGAGCAGAGAAGGTTAAAGGAGACTTAATAGAAGTTTTCAAAATTATGAGGGGATTCCATAGGGTGAACATGGGGAAACTATTTCCACTGGCGGGTGAGTCAGTAACTTGAGGAAACTGATCTAAAATAGTTTTTAAGAGAAACAGAGGGAAGGCAAGGAGAAATGTTTTCACACATCGAGTTGTTTGGATCTGGAATGATTTGGGTCTGAAAGGATGGTGGAGGCCGATTTGCTAACAACTTTTAAGAGAGAAGTAGATACTTATTTAGGGAGGACAAGTTTGCAGGGCTATGGGAAGACAGTGGGGGAGTGGGATTGAATTGGATAGTTCCTTTCCAAGAGCGACACACACACGATGGGCCGAATGGCCTCCTTCTGTGCTATATAATTCTATGATTCTACAATTAATCCATACAACATCATCACCCCCCCACACACACACACACACAAATGGGATAGTCAGTCAGTGCTATATACAATATAAACATGTTGAGGAAATCCACAACTGAGGAATTCCTTTTTCAGTGAGAGCTGCTCGTGAATTGGCTTTGAGGCTGAGCAAGTTCCATGTGAAACTCAGCAAATTCAGTGTGAATAATAATAACAATAATAATCCTTCTATTTGATATAGCGCCTTATTACGTTGTTGAGGCATCTCAAAGCGCTTCACAGAATAAACTGTAAAGTGAATTAACTCTGTATTTTGTGGGCCAGTGTTCTGTGAATCCTCATTCCCCACCACCCTATGTAGAGATCTCTGACCTGCTTAACACCAGTTTCTGAAAGCACTGCCGGCTGTAACAAACACTGCACGAATGGTGTGACCCCATATCTTAATGCTTCAGTGAATTACTGTCACCAGACGTGACTCTATCTAATTCAATGCACAATGCAAGTGAGGACCCAGATGGCAAAGGCACAGAACATTTTCTAATACTGGGAAGCCTAGAGCTCTCAGCGCTAATTCAGTAGCACCAACGCAAGTAAACACTGTCATGGTGATATAGCCCCAGCTGCCACTTGTACTGCATCCACGGTATTATTTTTAGATCGATTTTGTTGTTACTCTTCAGTTTAACTCTGGTACAAAGGACTAAGGATCCACAAAATTGATAGCAGTGTTTCATTTCACGTTAGCTGTGCTGAACTAAGTCCTTTAAACCCATCCTTTAATGGAAAACGTGAGCTCTGCTGCTTATTTTAAACATTGTAAGGATGTTTGCTGTAAACGTAGGGTTTGACCCAGTGCCCTATCGCTGCCTGCCTCAATCCCTCCACTGCTTGCCTTGCTCCTTTTGCCCATCTTCAGATCGAAGAGGAAGACCTTCCTCTTCAACCGTGCCTGTGGTCAGTTCCCCTTTCTCCCCGGCTCAGCGTCAAACTACACCATTGTTCAGCGCTTTGAGACACTACCCCATGTGAAGGGTGCTGTATAAATGCTCCTGAGGGAACATTATGGTTTGGGCTCGCAGGGTTACAACGTGGACAAAGTAGAAGAATCTGACCCTCTCAATGACGGGCTTGTTTACAGTGAATGACTCCTGTGACATTTTTTTGAGGGAGGGAGAGGCTGGCATTGAACCTGACCTGACCCAGAGTGAGCCTGTCTGGTGTGTGCCCTGTGGAAGGAGCATTTCAAGATGATGAGTTTGGCCAAACAGCAAGGGTCTCTTTACGAAGGCTCTTAGAAACAAACAAAGCGTGAGAAGAGCAGTGACTAACTGGGAAATCAGGCCAACCCAGCGATATGTAAACACCTGGGAGGAATGTGCATGGTTTAAACTGACAATCTAGACAATCCCGCCAGTAGAGTGCTGGGGAAGTCCCTCGCTGTCGGAAATTTCCATCCTTACAAATGAGACATCAAACCAAGGTTCATCTCTGCCTTATTCAGATGGACGCTATAGTTCCCACTGCACTACTGGAAAAGAGCAGGGAGTTTCTCCTGGTGGCCTCACTGACAATCCCCTAGATAAAATTGGTCACTCACTTCATGGCGGTTTGCGGGCATTGCTGTGTCAGTGCTTCAAGGCATTACCCCACATGAGGGCGTTGCATAAGTGCAAGTTGTTCTGTGCTAATTGGCTTCGCGTTCGCCTACAACACACAGTCATGGTTTACAGAAACTCCTGTGAAGCACTTTGAGATGATTCAACAATGTGTTAAGGGGTTATATCCCCCAAAAAAATGTGGTCGCTCAATCCGCGACTGTTGTAGGATGTTGCTGTGCGCAATTGGCTTCCGTGTTTTGCTCACAAAACACATAGTCAATCCACTTTACAATATATTTTGTGAAGTTCTTTGAGACATCTCAATGACATGATAAGGCAATATATCATATGCAACGATTATTATTAACAACAAAGTCAGGCAGGAGTCGGTTAGAAAAGGTCAAATGAACTAATGCAATGCTCATCATCGTTTGTGCTTTGTGTATGTCATGTTGCTCAATCCACCAGTCATCAAACCTAGAAGAGTAGCATTGAATCTTTACCCCAGGCTGACCCAGCCCAGTGCTGCTATACCCCAGAATCCCCCTACAGCATTGAGAATAAAATTCCATTTATTTCATCTGACATCGCTAAACTATTTTCCTGGCATACTGAAATGATGCCTGTAGGGTCTGTGTGATTGACAAAAAATGTGAGAGACAAATGACATGAAACACAGATATACCAGCCTGCAAAATGTCCCAAGTGTCTTTTTAAATCAAAACCTGCATGATTATTAGCCAACCTTAAGATGGCCTAAGTATTTGTATAGCATTAGCATTTTGGGTCTATTACACTTGACAGTAAGTCCTTGTGAAGCGCTTTGAGATGTTCCAATGAAGTGATAAAGCTCTATATCAAATGCAAAGATTATTATTACTAGCTGTACCTGTTGCAGCTACCCTCGCAACCAAAGGATTCAATGTGGAATGTAGATTGACGCATACACAGACAGACATTTCATCTATATCTATACTCATCTGGAAGGACTACTGTGGGAGGACTTTGTTCTTCAGTTTCATTTAATGGGGCTTCTTTTGTTTAGCATTTTTACTTATCCTTGAAAGGTTTGATTTTCGCTTAGGCATCTTTATAATGATGAATATATAATTTATAATCACTGGGATATCCTCCCAATGTGAAAGGCGCTTTAAAAATGTGATTTTGTTGTTGTTGCCGTGGCTTAGCTTTGTTGGTGTTCTTTTTTTTATCAGTTATATGTGTCAAGTTTCCTCATTGACGCTTTCTGCTTCAGTTGGCAGTGAGTTATATCTGAGAACCTATAGCCGCTGTTCTCAGTGACAGGTTTTGGAGCTGTTCGCCCCCTGATTTCAGGCAATGTTTTTCATCCTCATTGGGAACAATTTGGATTTGGATAGCTCTTTTCAAAGAGGCGGCACAGACACGATGGGTTGAATGGCCTCCTTCTGTGCTGTATAGTTCTATGATTCTGTGAATTGCGTACAACAGTGTCCCACAAACAGCCATGAATTGAGTGACCAAATTTTGTTTTTCTGGGGGGTGGGGTATAATTCCTCCTGGAAAGCGATCCGCCAATCGACTAACAACCGGGTTCCTACTTATTGCTAGGTAAACAGAAGCATATGAAGTAAGGAAACTTGCCCAAGCTTTCACCCCGCCCGGGAATCAAACTTGTGTCCTCTCACTTGTGAAGCGAGTGTGCTAACCACTACGCAAAAGAAAGGTTCGACAAAGATCGTCCATGTAAAAATCCAGTATGGGCTCAATGGACTGAATGGCCTCCTCCAGCTCCTATGATCCTAAATCTCTCGGTGTTCAATTAATGTAATTGCTTTTTGATTTTTCCCTTTTCCCCAGGGAAGCCTGTGCATGTTACAGAGAGTGCTGCCTTTCCGGTGTGACCAAAATAATCCTAGCAGAGAGCCAAGAAGCAGCAAGCCCTGGCGTCCCGCAAGGAAGTAAGCAATTACTTGACATCTAATGTCAATTGCTGTTTTGCCCTCAGCCTGCACAGTCGGTGGCACTCTCACCTCGAAGTCAGAAAGTTGTGGGTTCAAGCTCCCACGCCGGGTCTTTGACCTCACAAAAGTCAAGACGCTGGCTCCAACGTGGTGCCGGAGGTGTGCTTCATTGTCAGAGATGTTTACATTAAACCAAAGTACTGTTCGGGTGGACGTTAAAGATCCCATGGCACAGTTCGAAAAGTGCCTGGCTCACAATCCGCCAAATAAAATGTGCTATGGCTGTTTGTGGGACATCGCTGTGTGCAAACTGACTGCCGCATTTGACTACAAAACATACAGTCATTACACTTTACAATAAATCCTGTGAAGTGCTTTGAGATATCTTTTCTGATGTGAAAGGTACTATGTCAAATGCAAGGATTACTATTATTATTCATTGTGGCAGCATTTAGTGGTTAATTCCAGAACTGATCATGCTGTTTTGTCATTTGACTGTGCATTGGGCCATATTCAACAACAATAAATTACATTTGTATAGCACCTTTCACGTCGGAGGATGTCCCAAGGCATGGACAATTAGTGATTTGGACCTGAGCTGGGAGATATATTATATCTACTGAGAACAGTGCAAAACAATCACCGCCGATTTGTGTCGGGGCCCCTGTTATTTATTATGGCTGAAACTGTGAGAACATCCAGCTAGCATCTTTGTAATGGTTGCAATCAATGTATTTTCTGTTCCTCCTGGTCAAAAGATTCAAATCAGATTTAATTCTGGGAAAATAGCCGTATTTTCTTAAAAAGAAATCGAGGGTCCTCAAAATCCTCCATGGTCTTGCTCCTCCCTACCTCTATAACCTGCTAACTCCATATACATCTGTCCGCTCCCTTCACTTGGTGGGTACTGGCCTGCTCCACGTTCCCCACACGGCCCACCCATTGGCGGTCTGGCCTTCAACCTTTCTCCCCCCACCCTTTGGAACTCCATTCTACAGTGCCTTGGCCTTGCTCCTTCCCTTGCCTCCTTGAAGGCCTGTCTCAAGACCCTCCTCCTCGACCACACCTTCAGTCACCCTCCTACCCTCACCCTCCCTGCCCTCCACCCTTCCTGATCCCAATCCCCAACTCGGGTGCAAATCCCTGACTATACAGCGCCTTGGGACGTCCTCCCAAAGTGAAAGGCACTATACAAATGCAATTTGTTGTTGTTATTGAGGGATATAACGTGAACGTTTTGGCACTGACGTTATGTTCTGTGTAGTTTTTTTAAGTAGCCTCTCTGCAAAATAACCCCCTTTTCCTCTTTTTCCCCTTTTCTGCATTAAACAGTTAGAAGTGGGAATTTCTTCATTTGCCTCCCCTCTGGCAGCTTTTCAATGGGTTTTGCAATCGAACAGAAAAAAATGAAACTCTGAGCCACGACAGTCAGGGAAGGCTAACTGTGTGGGAAAGGATTGTCAGTATGCGATCTTAGCCTTACCTAAACAAGAAGCGTCAGAATAAAATTACTCAGAGCGTGAATTTGCACTGATGACCGATGGCAGACTCGCCTCTTGTACTGGTCTTTAATGTTGCTCTCTCCTGCCTGAAATCTTAATTATCCTGTCCATCACCACCTAAGCGCTGATTATCCACCCCCTCACTAGACTCTGCAAACTTGCAGCATGTAGTCATCAAACCTCCCCCGAGAACGCCAAAGTACCAGACTAACAATACACCATAAGAATATTTTAAAAAATACCATTCCGCTCACTGGCTTAAGGAAACTTTCCCAGTTTGGTGATGAAAGCTGCTCATTAAATAAAACCATCATGTTTCTGTGAGAATGGGGTTCCACCTTATTTGATATAAGGGCAACTCTTTGAAGGAAAAGCTTGGTTAATAATCATCCTTACATTTTGTATAGCTAGTTAGATTTTTTTTACGAAATAATATCTTGGGATACAGTTATAGTTTAGGACATGACATGTGCATGCAACTTCCACAATGGTGGGAGGCAAACAGGATGGACCTTGGTTTTCTTTCATCTGGCAATTTGTATGTCCTTAAGCACTTTTCATATTGGGTGGACGTCTCAAAGTGCTTCAGAGGATATAGTGTAAAGTGCAGGAACTGCATCTTATAGGAAAACGAGGCACCAAACAGTGCCCCATGAGGTGAGCATCCTATTTTATCAGGGAGATTGTTGACCAGGACACTGGGAGAAACTCCCTTCTCTTTTTTGAATAGCTCCACAGGATCTTTAAAGTTCACCTGAATTTGCAGACAGTGTGTCAGTTTAAAGTCTCATTGGATATACAGCACCTCCAACAATACTGTGCACCCGCAGCACTGCATTGGAGTGTCAGGCCTGGACCATGTGAGCTCAGAGTCCCAACTTGGGGCTTGAACCAACAACCTTCTGACACAGGTGGGAATGCTACCAGCTGAGCTAGACATATTAGCTGTTAGTTGCTAGTGTTTGACACTTGACTAAATACAGCAGGTTGCAATAACCACCGTCTAGTTCTGTCGATGGAGTGGTTTGTGCTTTCATGCAGCTGCCTCCTCTTGCCTCCCTCCCAGCGACATTGATGCATTTTGAAATCAGCAGGGGCCGACAGGATTCTCAGGCGGTGAAAACGACAGTGGAGGCCATCAGAGCAGTGAAGCCCTACTTGTGGAGTGTCGCGGAGGGCAGTGTTTTCCTGCCGTCAACGTGTGTCAGTGAGATTCCGCTTCTGCTTCCTCGGATCTCTGTACCTATGGGAAGAGCTGCGCTGGCCGGGAGATGGGGTAAGATTGTAATTGCAGTTCTGTGACCTTTTTGCCTCAGCCTGATTGACAGGTTAGTCCTCGATAACATTTTAAAGTTTAGCCTGTGTTGAGGTCTTTAATGGCTTTCCGTTTAACTCTTGGCTGACCATTCCATTTAAGTGTGTAATTAGGCACAATTAGTCTGTCCACATTTTTCTTAAACTAATTTTCCTGTCCTACATGTGGGATGTGTCTCTCACTGACTGTCCTTTCCTTGGTCATTGTTGATGTGTGAGCCTCGCCAGTGATGTCAGCTGGACACTAGACTCAGGAGTGTTTCAAAGCCAAACCCGATCTCTCCCCATCTGGCTGTCCCACACACAATCATACATACCACCAGTAGGGGGTGCTGTAGTGGGACCAGGAGCAGGAGATTTTCTCCTCCCTACCCTTGGGAAGAACAAAGGCAAGTTAACCTTTCAATGCAATCCAGGCTGAGCCCCGCAAACTTATCACAGGCTGGGATTCAAATCAATGAACTTCCGAGACGTTAAACTAGTTTTGAGAACTTTGAGTTCGGTCGGAAAAAACTTGTATCCTTGGAGCCTTGTAACTAATCCGGTTGCTGAGTACAGAGAGTATGGCTGGCGATATCAGTTACCCCTGGCATTTCATCGCTTGGTCTCCATTCCAATCAGGAGCAGCTTGTTATATAACATTGTTGGTTGAAATCACAGACACACTTTGAGTCAACAACAACAAACAGCGGTTTGTATCTAAACTGCAACCATCATGTTAGATAACGTCTTGGAACTTTTCACAAAGGCGGGAGCAAGAGGAGGGGAGAGGGGGGAGGAATGGGGGAGGTAACTGTAGGTGCAGTCGAAGAGTAGGGTTTTTAGGCAGGATTTAAAGACAAGAAAGAGAGGGATGAGATGGAAGGGTAGAAGGACAGAGTTCCAGAGGTTCCACTGATGGTTGCAAAGAGGGAGGTCAGGGCAGGGGGTGTGAGACGCACAACAGACCTGAATTAGCTGAGCGGAACAAAGAGTAGAAAAGTGGGGTGGGAGGAGGTCACAGGAATAGGGAGGGGCAAGAGTGTGCAGGGGATTTATAAGTGAGCCTGAGGATCTTGAAGTCGATCAATGGTAATCGGGGAGTTAGTGGAGCCTGGCGAGGACTGGGGTTAAAAAAAAGATAAATTGACTTGAAAACATACCAACAGAAACAATAAAGCTCCAAGCTCATTCCCTTCCCCATTATCAACTGAGTATGACTGGATCTGTGGTTGACTCACTAAACTGTGCTCCAGGGAGTCCTTAGAATGTGATTATTTTCAGTTCTAATGATAAAATGTAGCCCTGTAACTTATTGGATAGGGCACTCGCCTCACAAGCGAGAAGATCCACTGGGTAGGGCGAAACCTCAGGCAAGTTTCCTTACATCACACGCCTCTGCTTACCTAGATGTAAGTAGGAACCTGGTTGTTAGTCTATTGGAGGATTGGGTTCTAGGGTATTAATCCCTCCGGGAAAAAAAATCACTCAATCCATGACTGTTTGTGGAACAATGCTGTGTGCAATTGGCTGCCGCGTTTCTCCCCAAAAATATAGTCAGTTCACTTTACATTATATTCTGTGAAGCGCTTTGAGACCTCTCAACGACGTGATGAGGTACTGTATCAAATGCAAGGGTTATTATTGTCATCATTAAAATCTGAGGGTCACGGAACAAGCAGCTCTGGCACCACCTTCTTGTCTTGTCTGCTTACCTTCTCAATGTGAGCTGGATAAGAGGAAGCCAAGTGAATCAAGATTGAGAGGGAAAGCTCGATTATAAACATTACATGGATCACAATGTTGCTGAATGATTTACTACTGCAACTGAAATGTGAAAGCAAGACGCTGCGGGGAGGGTAATGATCTGGATGCTGCAGAGCCAAGTGAAGGAACGATTTATCACTGTGAGGAAATGGCAAAGCTCTTGCTCTCTACCCTCCCTCCACAAAACAGGCAACTTTTTATTTATTTTTTCGCACACAAAACACACTCTCAATTCACTCGACAGTATATTCTGTGTGAAGCGCTTTGAGACGTCTCAGCGGCGCGATAAGGAACTATATCAAATGCAAGGATTATCATTATTTTTATCCTACAGCTCCCGGGGGAAGCAGAAGCACTACTCACGAGACAAAACACAAAGTGCCCGCTAGGAGAGTAATTTATTCAGACGCTAAGTGCACTTTAGGCAAAGGCACTGCAGCAAGACTCTGAGCTGGGCGACGTGTTATCACAGCCCTGGTTTACGTGCACTGCTGTTCTCATTCTCAATTGATTTCTAGCAAAATTTCTGCCACAGAGAAGCTGTTCTGCCAGCTGCGGAGGAAGAGGGAGAGGAATCTTGAGCAGTGATCGTACAAGCTAGAGTCTTGATTGAAGATGACCCAGAAGGGACCTCATAGAGGTGTAGAAAATACTACAAAGGATTGAAACGTAAATGCAGAACGATGCTTACAGATGCACTGAGACAGTAAAACAAGAGGACAAAGGTATTGAGTTGTGAAGGGCAATTTCAGGACAGACACTAGGATGTTTCTCTTTACTCAAAGGGTAACTAATAACTGGAACAAAGACGGTGGTTGAGGACAGGAATCATTATAAGCAGCTTGATGCAGTGATGGGGGAATGATAGGATAGATATTCTGGAGGGATGAGGTCAGATTATACAAAATATACAGTCAATTAAATTTGCAGTATATTCTGTGAAGTGTTTTGAGATGTCTCGAAGACATGATTAGGCGCTATATAAAATGCAAGGATTATTATTAGATTGGCATCACAGCATCAAGCTGCTTTTTAAATGAGTGTAGAGTCCTGGCCTCAACCATCCTTCCTGGCAACCCTTTTCTAGTCATAAATTATTAATCATTACCCTGTTCTAGTCGTTAATTGAATGAATCTGTGAAGGCCCATAGTGTAGTAGTTAGCACGCTAAGCTTGCAAGTGAGCGGACCTGTGTCGATTCTCAGGCAGGGCGAAACCTTAGGCAAGTTTCCTTACGCCACACACCTCTGTTTACCTTGCAATAAGTTGGAATCCGGTTGTTAGTAGATTGGTGGATCGTTTCTGGGGGTAATAAACCCCCCCAAAAATAATTTGGTCATTCAACCCACAGCAGTTTGTGGGACATTACTGTGCACAATTTGCTGCTGCATTTGGCCCACTAAATACCCAGTCAATCCACTTTACAATATATTCTGTGAAGAGCTTTGCGTCGTCTCAATGTGATAAGGCGCTACATCAAATGTAAGGATTATTATTGTTACTTCCAATTAAAGATTTCTGTAGATCTCAGCAAACAACACAGTTCAATAATGTTTTATGAATCCAGTGAGGCTTATATCTAAAATACTGTAAATAAACAGAACAGAAGATGGATTTAAAAATGACTTTCATGTCTTAGAATAAACAGAACAGCACAGATGCACTTAAATGCAATTTTTGAACCTCTCCGCACATTGCGATCTGTTACAAAGCATACAAATGTTTCCTATAATAATAAATCCTTATATTTGGCGCCTTTCATACATCTGCATCTAATCTACCTGCACCATAACCCACACCAAATTCCGCATGCCGATCACTCTGGTCCTAGCCAGGCTTCACTGGCTCCCCGTTTCTCAGTGGTTCGACTTCAAGGTCCTTGCCCTCACTAACAAATCCATCTACTCCTTGGCACCTTCTTAACCTCTCCTCTCTATCTGTCTCCTACCTCTGCTCGCCCTCCCCGCTCAGTTAACTCGAACTCTCTATGCATCCCCCGCTCTCTTTGCGTAATCATCCTTCGTTTTCTGCGCTGCTAACCCCTGAAACTCCCCCCAAACCCCACCTACTTTCTATTTTAAAGGCCCACCTCAAATCCTACCTCTTTGAACTCACCTATGGCCACCTCCATCGAATATTGGCCAGGACACTTGAAAAAAACAACTCCTCTTTTCAAGTAAGGCCAAAGGATCTTTAATGTCCTGAAGATGCAGAAAGGATCTCAATTTAATATCTCACCAAAGGACAATATGTGTGACAGCACAACATACCCCGAGCACTCTATTGGAGCATCAGTGTGAACTGAGTTCAAAGTCGTGAGGTGGGGCTTGAACACACAACCTTCTGACTCCAAGACGAGAGTGCTGCCAACTAAGCCAGGCTGTAATAGTTAATGGTACAAAACCTGATACCCTTTTTCACATGGGACCTATTGCATTAGTTGAACCTATATAAAACTGTCTGGTCCCCAGCATAATTCCTCCACCACACCAATTCCTGCTAATGTACAGAAATAATCTTTAAACCGCCCTTTGTGGAAACAACAGCAGGATGTCAGAGTTAATAAAATCTAAGGTTAAGTAGGATTGACTGTAATATCAGTGAGGACACTGGTTTTATGCTGCGAAAGATTATAATAACATTTCTGTTTGACTAAAGTAGAAATGTTTCAGAGTTTGGCCCACATTAGCTCACAGAAATGTGTAACATCAGCCTGTGGAGGATAAATGCCCTTTGAAAAACTGGCTACAGTTTTTATTGTTTGCACATAGAGGACGATAGCATGCTTACAAATTCAGCTGTGTTTGCTTGCCTTTGACGATGTAGAATGGGTGTGGGTTGAGATCATCTAGGTGGACATTCCACAGCAATATTTGGATGAAACGTTAAAACAATTTTCCATCTATCTTAAAAGAGGGGTAATAAAAATCCTATGGCACTATTTGCAAAGGCAAGAGAGTTTCTCACTTTGAAAAGAAAAGGGATTTTCTCTTGGTGTCCAGGCGAACAGTCCTCCAGATAAAATTGGTCATTCACTTCAGTCTTGTTTATGGGACATGGTTGGGTGCAAATCAGTTGTCATATTGCCTACAAATATACAGTCACTACACTTCACAGTTAAAATTCTGTGACGCTCTTTGAGCCGTTTTGATGAGGTGAAAATGTACTATATCAAATATATCATAGAGTCCTGTAGCTCAGTGGTTAGAGCACTCGCCTCGCAAGTGAGAGAGACCTGGCTTCTATTCCCGGCAGGGCGATAAGTTGGGCAAGTTTCCTTACTCCACACGCCCTCTATTTACCTAGCAATAAGTAGGAACCCAGTTGTTAGTCGATTGGTGGGTCGCTTTTCCAGGGCTTATAATGCTTCCAAAAGAAAACAATAATAATTTGGTCACTCAATCAATGACTGTTTGTGGGACACTGCTGTTCGCAGTTGGCTGCCGCGTTTCGCCCACAAATATATATAATCAATTCACTTTACAGTATATTCTGTGAAGCGCTTTGAGACGTGTAGAAGATGTGAAAAACACTATAGCAAATGCAAGGATTATTATTATAATAAGAATTATTATTTTTATTATTATTATAAACGTTATTGCAACCCAAGACGATCAAGTGAGATGTGACATCTGGGAAGCCTGTGTTATTTTTTTCAAGGTAATTTGTTTTCATTGACGAACACAGGAAACTTTGTAAGTGTTTCAATGGAAAGCTCACGCTATTTATATGTCGGTTTATCCTGCTTCTTACGCTGAGAGTAATATGTCTAATTGTGAATTTGAGCAGCAGGTGCTCACTGTTCAAGCATATTGCCAAGGAACAAAGCACCTAGCAACGGGTTTACAAGATATTTGTAATGCAGATTGGACACTGAGGTTTCTATATGTGAGTCGCTTCATGTGGCAGAACATGTGGTGATAAATATAAAAGGTGCATTTTTGAGGCCATGGACAATTTTTACACATTTAAATATGTGTGAATAATAATAATAATCCTTGCATTTCATACAGCACCTTATCATGCAATGGAGATGTCTCAAATGCTTCACAGAATATACTGTAAAGTGAATTGACTGTATATTTTGTGGGCGAAACACGGCAGCCAATTGCACACAGCAGTGTCCCACAAACAGCCGTGGATTGAGTGACCAAATTATTTTTCTAATTTTTTTTAAGGGATTATTACCCCTGGAAAAAAAAACTATTAGGCCAATCGACTAACAACCGGGTTCCTACATGCTGCTAGCTAAATAGAGGCGTGTGGAGTAGGGAAACTTGCCTAAGGTTTCGCCCAGCCTGGGGATCGAACCCAGGTCCTCTTGCGAGTGCTCTAACCGATACACTACAGGACTCCATATCATGTACAGTTCTAATTCCCACACAACGTAAGGGGCAGAGGCAGTGCAGAGGAGAGCAATGAGGATGATCCCAGTGTTAGAGCCAATACTATATGCAACGATTAGACAAGCTTGGGCCTCTTGAATCTTGAGAGAAAACATCTTAATAATCCTTGAATTTGATGTAGCGCCTTATTACGTCGTTGGGACGTCTCAAAGCACTCAGAAGAGACTTTGTAGAAGTATGTAAAATGTTGAATGCGATTGAAAAAGCAAACCCAGGACAATACTTTCGGATGCACCATGATGAGATGAGAAGTTAAACCGAGGTCCCACCTGCCTGTTCAGGTGGATGGTAAAGATCCCCAGGGTCTATTCAAAAAGAGAAGGGAGTTTCTCCCAGTGTACTACCCAACAATCCTCCAGATAAAATCAGGCGTTCGCTTCATGGCTGTTTGTGGGAAATTGTTGTGTGCAAACTGTCAGCTGCGTATCGCCCACAAAACACAGTCACTCCACTTTATGGTATATCCTGCGAAGCGCTTTGAGATGTCTCAAGGACGTGATAAGTCGCTATATCAAATGTAAGGATTATTATTATTACTAGTATTATTAAGACAGCAGAACACAGGTGTAGGGTTTACAAACGACAATTTCAGGACAGACACCAGGAAGTTTCTCTTTGCCCAGAATTAATGATTAATAATTAATGATTAGAACACGGTTGCCAGGAAAGGTGGTTGAGGCCGGTACATGGGACTCGTTCACAAAACCAGCTTGACATTGTGATGAGAGATGGCTCTGAGGAGTAAGTTAGATGTTCTGTTTTATTTGGGATTATATTCTGCACTGCTTCCAAAAGGAATGTCATTGTCGAGCCTTGGTTTCAACATCCTTGGCTATAGATTATTACTATTGCCAGTTTGAGTGCTGTGTGCAGCGTTGGGTATCCAGTTAGAACAAGCATATAAATGCAATGGCAGACACGCAGCAGAGATTCACTAAGATGTTCCAGTGATGAAGGGATTCAGTCACCAAAAGAGACCTGACAAGTTCGGGGTTTGCTTGTCAGACCTGAGAAGGATGACAGGTAATTTGATAATAATAAATAAAAAGAATAATGATCATTGCATTTGATATAGCATCTTATCATGTCATCCAAACCTTTCAAAGTGCTTTACAGTTTATTGTATTTGTAGGTGAACGTGGCAGCAATTTGCACACAGCAATATCCCAGAAACAGCCATGAAGTAAACAACCAATTTTATTTGGGGCTTGTTGACCAGGCCACCAGGAGAAACTCCCTTGAATTGCCACGGGAACTTTAATATCCACCTGAACAGGCAATCGGGAACTCAGTTTAATGCCTTATGTGGAAGATGTCACCTCTGATAATGCAGCACTGCACAGGATTGTCAGACTGTGAGCTGAAAGTGGGTAGCACTCTTACCTCTGAGTCAGAATATGGTGGGTTCAAGCCCACACTCCAACGCTGTGCTTGGGGAGGTTCTGTCAGAGGTTCTGTCCTTTGGATGAGATATTCAACCGGGGTCCCGTTTGCCTGTTCAGGTGAATGTTAAAGATCCTGTGGCACTTCTTGAAATTAGAAGGGGAGTTTCTGCCAGTGTCCTGACCCAGATTAATAAAATTAAGTCACTTAAAGGCTGGGTGAAAATTTAGCTACCCCGCTCGCCTACAAAAATACCCATTCACCACACTTCACAGTAAATCCTGTGAAGTAATTTGAGGCACCTTACTAAAGGGCTGAGTCAAATGTAAAGATTGTTATTACTGGTAATATTCTGTGGATATAAAATTCTATGACATTAAAGGACAGATACCCAGCTCTCCCACCTGTACTCTAAAACTGTATAATAAATCCACTGTATGAGATGGAGAGGTGAAGACTCTGACTTTCAAACACCAGGTAACCTAGAGCAATCTTTACTCCATTAAACCAGCACTTTGTATTGTGTTTTGTGGAAATTTATAATAATAATAATAATCCTTGCATTTGATATAGTGCGTTATCACGACATTGGGATGTCTCAAAACGCTTCACAGAATATACTGTAAAAGTGGATTGACTGTGTACTTTGTGGGCGAAACGCGGCAACCAATTGCATACAGCAGTGTCCCACAAAAGGTCATGGGTTGAGTAACCAAATTTTGGGGCGCGAGGGATTATTATCCTGGAAAGGAATCCACCAAAAGACTAACAACCGACTTCCTACTTACTGCTGGGTAAAAAGAGTGTTTGCTCAATTTGATTTGGAGAACGCTTCCGCAGATGTTACGACACCTCCAGGAAAACGCATTGCCAGACAATGTTTCTCATTTCCACTCAATCCAGGAACGAAACTTTGCTCGACTACCCACGAGCAAAAAATGTCAAATTGAGTTCCGTTGAAGCCTCAGGAAGCCAGTTCAGAGGTTTGTTGGAGTCGAGCTCCGTTTGATCTGAGCAAAATTGTATGTGACTTGCGTTGGGGTGTGAGAAGGAGGGGGAGATCAGTGAACCAAACGGGTTTGATTGCTGACTGCGTGACTGATACTCTGTGGAATCCTCTGATTCTTTTGATTGCAACTTTGTTGTAGGGAACATTGAAACTAATTCACCAGGTTACAAGACGCCCAGGTTCATCTCAGCTTTGGGAGACAATCTTATCTCCAAGTCCGTGCAGCTGAAACACAGGGCGGCTGCCAACGACCACAGGAAGCAGGTGAGCAACACTGGAAAGGGGCCACACGTTAAAGTGAATGTCCCACATTGGGCTTACAATATCCAGACTGACACTGCAGTGCAGTGCTGGGGGGAGAGCGCAGCCTTATCAAAGGTGTCGTCCTTCGGATGCTAAAGATCCCACGCCACTATTCAGGAGGAGAAGGAAGTTTCTCCCGTTGTCATGGCCAACAATAACCTCTCCCTCCTCCTGATAACATTGAACATTCGCCTTATGGCTGTTTGTGGGACATTGCTGTCCGCAAATTGGCTGCCTCTAAATTACAGCCACTACACTCTGCAGCAAACTCTGTTTAACATCTCAACCGAAGGGCAGCACCTCCAGAAATGCAGTGCTCCACCATCATGTGAAGGGCGCTATATATATAGTGAGTGACCAATTTTATTTTGGGGAATTGTTTGCCAGAACACTGGGAGGAACTCCCTTTCTCTTTTCGAGTAACGCCGTAGGATCTTTAGCATCATTATATTAATATTAATTGCATTTGACATAGTGCTCTGGGAAGCCACCCTGTGTGAGGGCCCTATGTAAATGTAAGTTGTTGTAGTGCCTGAGACATCTCAAAGCTCCTCAAAGAATATATTGTAAAGTGGATTGACTGTGTATTTTACGGCAGCCAAATGTGCGCATCAGTGTCCCACAATCAGTCGTGGGTTGAGTCAACACATTTTGTTTTGAGGAATCAATGCTCTCAGAAAGTGATCCGCCAATCGACTAACAACCAGGTTCCCACTTATTACTGGGTAAGCAGAGACGTGTGGAGTAATGAAACTTGCCTATGGTTTTGCCCAGCCCGGGAATCGAACCGAGGGTTATGTTATAAATGTTGACCTTTAATAATTCTGATGCACCATCCATAAGGAATAAATACCTTTTGGAGCGTGCACAGCATCCATTCCGAGGCCGACTAAGGCGATATCCAGCAGCCGTGTCACTACTGTTGCCTTGGAAACAGGATCACTGGGCTAAAAAGGGAGGTGTGCGCGACTGATGGGTGTGTGTGTGGGCAGTGGGGGGCAGTTTACCCACGATCGTAAAGCTGGAAAATGAGAACGTTCCAGTACATTTTCTTAAGAACAAATAAACCCGTTGTGTAGGCAGTACAACTGCAGCGGTACAATCAAGTGACGCTAATTAAACTCACGGTCAAGGTTATCATTAAACCCTTTCGAGGCATGTCCCAGTCCTATGTTAGTGGTTGAAAATTTAAGATCAACAAAATTCTTACTCCCATTCCAAGATAACGATCCCTGCATTTGACGTAGCTCCTCACCCCGTCGTTGAGACATCTCAAAGAGCTTCATAAGATTTTTAAAAATGTGACTGTGCACTTTGAGGGTGAACCCAGCCTCCAATTTGTACTCAGCAATGCCCCACACTTAGCCATTAAGTGAACAGCCGACGTAATCTGGGGGGTTGTTGGGTCAGGACAAGCAGAAGAAACTCCTCTTTTGGAATAATGCCACTGGATCTTAAACATCCACTTGAACAGGCAGACGGGAACTCGGTTTAGCATCTCATCTGAAGGACGCCACCTCGAACAACACAGCACAGCTTTGGAGTGTCAGCCTAGACTACGTATGTTCGAAGACCCGACTTGCGGCTTGAACCCACAACCTTCTGACTCAAGAGGCGAGTGCGTACTGATTACGATTGGCTTTTTTAGTTAAGAATTTATTATTTACGAATCCATCAGACTGGATGCTTTGAACTGCTGAGAAAATAGAGTAAATCTAGACCCAGATAGAATTTCTCCCCACCATGGGTCTTCACCAAGCTGAAATTATCCAAAACAAAGAATGCTACTTTGCTAATGGGCCATCGGTATATACAGTATTGAGATATGCATTACTTCATTAGCTTCATCCCTTCCTTCCACATTGTGTGATCAGATGCATATTAACATTTAAAAGACCGGCCTTAATTGTGTTCCTAAGGGGATTCGGCTGTATTCCATTGCAATTTACTTTTGGTGCTAATTTTCTATAATTAAGTACTCTTTGATGCCATTACCATAAGTACAGGATAGGATGTGACGTGCAGTTAAAAAAAAACTTTCATTCAGATCCACCAGATGCAAAGGTTAGCCTTTTGGAATGAACTTACGTATTGACCTTTGTCAAGAAGCCAAGAATACATCCAGAATGTCAATATGTAAGCACATTTATCTGGGTTCAGACGTACCTGTGTGCACGTGTGTATCATTGATCAATAATCCTTACATTTATGCAGCACCTTATCACGTCATCGAAACGTCTCAAAGTGCTTCACAGAATTTTAATGTGACTATGTATTTTATAGGCGAATGCAGCAGTCAATTTGCACACAGCAATGACCTGCAGACAGCTATGAAGTTAATGGTCAATTTTATTTGGGGGTTTGTTGGCCAGGACGCTAGTCCCTTCTCTTTTCAAACAGTGCTGCGGGATCTTTAACATCCACCTGAGCTAGGGCACAGACTGAACCTCGGTTTAACCTGCAAAAGAAGGCACATCCTGACAATGTAGTGCTGCCTAGCATTGCCATTAATTATATTAAACCTTGCATTTGATATGATGCCTTTCACGTCGGGAGGATGTCTCAAAGCGCTTCACTGCAAATACTGTAAGGTACAGTGACTGCATGTTTTGTAGGTGAAGGCAAGCTCCGACTATAATCATAATAAATAAGCTTCGCATTTGATGTAGAGTCTTGTCACCTCACAAGATCACAAGATTGGTCTGGATGAAGATGGCCCATATGATGTCATCCCTCCAGAATACACAGCCTACCATCCCCTCATCACTGCATTAAGCTGCTTTTCAAATGAGTTTGTCGAAAGGTCTCAAAGCCCTTTGCAGGATTTGCTGAGGAGTGTAGTGACTGTTTTTGCAGGTCTCTGAGTTTTATGAGTACCTGATCTTTTCGTGGAATCTGATTTCTTCAGACTCATGGGAAACACCTGAAGAAATCCAGGAAGAGCTCGGCAATCGTGGGAACCTTACGTGGCCAATGCAGAACGAGACTTGCGTTAGGCTGCTCGAACTGTCTTGATGACAGGCTCGCTTGATCTGTTTCTCATGTGTAAATGAGAGCCTCTCAGCTACAGTGTGCAGCCTTGCCAAACAGGTCTAATCCTGGGGTAGGCAGACGGAGTTGAAACAAAGATCACTGATGTGTCAACCCTCGTAAATCTGCAGCAAATAAAACATTAAAAACACCCAAGCTCATTGGTGCTGATCCTGCCAAGGCTGCAATTAACCCTTAGGTTTACGCCGGCTCCCGTCTCTCTAAATTGATGGATTTTATACGTTTTCATCTCACAAACCATGCAACATTGAAGTAACAGAAGTAACATGGCAGTAATAAAGTGACCCTAAGTGTTAAAGTGTCAGCCTGGCACAGAGTTGTAACACTCTTGCTTCTGAGTCAGAAGGTTGTGTGTTGAGGCCCTAATGTCGACAGTTTGCAGTCGAATAGTCCAGGTCTACAAATACTGTAGCGCATTGTTAAGTGAGAAGACCTGAGTTCATTTCCCAAAGGGAATGCAGTAATTCCTGCAAAGTGCTTTGAAACATCTTGATGACGTGAAAAGGCTCTGTATCAAATGCAAGGGTATTATTATCTTTTTAGAGGACCATTTTTTTGGCTTTGTTTTGCGACTCGTTTACCATTTGCTTTGGGGTATCATTGTGCCAACATCGGCCGAACCTGCTCCAGTGCGCGGGAGTTTTAACTCCATGCCGCCTGATTTCGCTGTTCACTTATGGACATGGAATTGCAGTTGCCGACATCTGCTGAATGCTTACTGATTGATCGCCAGCAGGCTTGAAACCTTACCCCCCCCACCACCCCCCCAACAGCAGCAACATCCCGCAGGGCGCAAGCAAGATTAACTGCAGTAGAGGTTAGAGGAGTTAGAGTTTAAATAAGAAAAGCAGCAAAATGAAATCTTGCAGAGAAACAGCACAGAGGAGATGGATTCTGTCAACTTCAAAAGCAAAACAAAAACCTCCAGAGGAAAGGGGAGAAGGGAAAGGAGAAGCCAACTTTGCACCACGCATTTTATTGATTGGTTCTTATTATGATATCTTGGCACAGATGGTATAGATTTTTCCCCCGAAGCACTATTTGCAACATTTCTGACTGATTTCCGAAATGCTGTCAGCCACGTTCCCAATCAATTCCTGAGCTGTTTCAATAATCGTAACAACAACAACAAATTACGTTTCTACAGTTCCTTTCACGTCGAGAGGGAGTGTCCCAAGGAGCTGGACAGGCAAAGATTTGTACCCAAGCTGTGGGTTGGGTCAGGAGGGGTGGAGGATAGGGAAGGTAGGGGTAGGAGAATGACCGAAGACACGGTCGAAGAGGAAGGTGTTGAGATGGGCCTTGAGGAAGGCAACGGAGGGGTTGATGAGAAGGGACAGTGGGATGGAGTTCCAAAGAAGTTTCAAAAATAATAATAATACATAATAATAGATAACCCTTGCATTTGATACGATGCCTTAGCAGGTCTTTGACACATTTCAGAGTGATAAATCATCTCAAACTTGATTCACTATAAAGTGTAGTGACCATGTGTTTGCAGGCGAACCTGGCAGCCAATTTGCGCACGTCAGCATCCCACAAACAAACATGAAGTCAATGACCAGATTTTGATGTGGGGAGTTATTGGCTAGGACACCGGGAGAAATATCCTTCTCTTTTCGAATAGTGCCGTGGGATCTTTAATGTTCACTGCCACCAACTGAGTCAAGCTGCCACTTTCAGCGTCAGCTTGACTTTCAGTGTCTTACAGAAATATTGGCTCAATTCCATAGCTCTCTGTTTCCACAGGGTGTGTGAGTGTGTGGTTGTCTGTGGCGATGCGTGGAAGGGGTTGGGGTGGAGATGGGCTTTATTGTTGCAGTTTATTTGATGTTTCGTTGGCGTTTCAACCACAAAATACACAGTCAATCCACTTTACAATAAATCTTGTGAAGGGCTTTGACGCCGTGATAAAGCTATATCAAATGCAAGGATTATTAATAATAATTGTTTATTATTATTGTAACACGGCAATGCTTTAATGTGGGGATCTTAGCTGTTTGCCTTCCCATTCCAGCATCCTAAGATTCCCTACTGCATTGTTTTCGCTCTGTCTGTCTCTCTCTCTCTGTTTCTCTACTCCTTTTTTTAACCTGTGAAATATTTTATCAAAGTAAATATCAGCTTCAATTCAAGCACAGTGAGCAAGACTGTTGATTGGGACTGACAAGCAGCCTCGCTTTCTCAAGAGTTGTTACAGCTGCACACCGAGTGTCCACCAAAAAAAAAAATATGACAGGAGCGTTTTTGCCGGTTTGCTTAGAGCACCTATGGGGTTTCTCCTGGTTTCCTGCTGACGTGAGTGTGAATTTCATACTGAGATTTTAATTATTTCTGTAAGTTGGCAGGTCGTGCGTTGGGTTCAAATCGACCTGCTGCTGTCTCCATCTGGCTCTCTGTCAGAACACCGTCGATCACAGACAGCGGAGGACAGAGGTTGCAGATTTACAAGTTAACTTGTAAAGTATCGGCTGACGCAGTCTACGCTGACACTCCAATGCCAGACGAAGGGGAAGCGCTGTATTGTCGGAGGCGCTGAACAGTTTCCATATAATAATTAAAGTCACAGATGCTGCAGAGATGAACAGTTTCCTATTATGACATCTCACAGCCCTTTGAGCTCACAGTTCACGCTGACACTCCAGTGCAGTGCTGAGGGAGCACTGTGTTGTTGGAGATGCCGTCTTTTGGATGAGACGTTAAACCGAGGTCCCGTCCACCTGTTCAGGTGGATGTTAAAGGTCCCGCAGCACTATTCCAAAAGTGAAGGGAGTTTCTCTCTCCCAGTGTCCTGGCCAACAATCCCTCAAATAAAATTGGTCGTTCAATTCATAGCTGTTTGTGGGACATTGCTGTGCGCGAATTTGCTGCCATATTTGTCCAAAAAATACAGTTACTACACCTGGCAGTAAATCCTGTAAAACGTTTTGAGACATAAAATGCACTATATCAAATATAAGAATGATTATGTAAGGGTTAGTGCAGATTTTCTGCAAGATTTTATTTTGCTTTAAGTAAGGATTTATTATTACCTGTGACGCGCAGTTATTAAAACCCTCATATTCTCTTCACATGAACGGGTGCTGATGAAGAGAGAATATATTTGTATTCGATGCAGCACTTTGTTACATCAAAAATGCCTCACATCATCTCATGGAGCCTGTGAAGCGCAGTGTGTGCTGTAGCCTATACCAGCAATGACAGCTTCACACAGAGGGTAGTGAGATTGTGGAAGTGATAGCGAATCAGATAATGTAGATGCTTTCAAGAGGAAGCTAGACCTTCACATGAGGGAGAAGGGAATAAAAGGGTAAGGGAGGAAGTAAAGAATGGGTGGCGACTTGTATGGAAAATAAACACCGTCATAATAATAATCCTTGCATTTGATATAGCGCCTTATCACGTCTTCAAGACGTCTCAAAGTGCTTCACAGAATATACTGTAAAGTGAATTGACTGTATATTTTTTGGGCAAAACGCAGCAGCCAATTGTGCACAGCAGTGTCCCACAAACGGTCGTGGACTATTTAGGTCATGTAGTTCGTTTCCATGCTGTACCTTCTTTGTAAATTGCTGCCTCACACTGTTTTGACATAGTGACACTCCTACTTCTCTTTCAGCTTCTCTCTTGGCAAGTTCCATCTTATCCATGGAGTACACGTTTTCTATTCTTACTATGTATATGGAGTACCTTGTATTTATCTGTCGAGCCAAATGGCCTGTTTCGGTGCTGTCGATTCCATGTAATGCAAAATGCTCTTTCGACCTTCTATTTAAAGGTGTCTATAGCGACTCCATGGAATGACACTGGATCAGGAAGAACGGCCAAATCCAGAAGTAAGTCATTCCTGGTGATAATGTAACCAAAGCTGATTCTGTGTCAATCTGGGTTTTATTGTTGTTTTAGATTCTTAAATTTCTCAATTTCATTTGTTTGTTCGTTGCTCTGTTGATTTTCAGAATTGTCAAACAAATCAGATTGAACATAATTTAGACACGTTTCTTTGCTCATTGAGGTAAGAAATATTAGGTGCTGGTGAAATGGGTAGATTTTTTATGGTTAAATGTCAAAAATAAGCACTGCCAGATCCAGACAAAAAGCTTCCTTTGCTGTATAACACTCCCTTTGCCCAGTAATACATTCGAATAGCCAACAACAACAACAAATTACATTGATATAGCGCTTTTCATGTCGGGAAGATGTCCCAAGGCATTGGACAGTAAAGGGTTTGCAACTGAACTGGGGATGGAGTCAAAAGAGGTGGAGGGCAGATAACCGAAAGTGCAGCTGGAGCGGAAGGTCTTGAGACGGACCTTGAAGGAGCCAATTGATGGGTGAAATAGACTTTTAATGATGGATTAAATAGACTTTTAGATGGTAAGGATCACCAAATTTCTCAACAACTAAGGCTCAAGTCCATTGTCTTATTTTATTCGTGATTTGGAAGCCAATTTTTCAGTTCTTTCTGGGTACTGCGGAAATTAGACCCCGCAGCGTTGAAAGGAGACTTCTCAGATGGGAACCTTATAGAGGTGAATAATATTTTAAATGGGATTACAAAAAGGAAACCTAGAACAATACTATAGGGTGCTCCAAAATAGTAGAACAAAAAGACATTGGTATAGTTGCAAAAGCAATTTCAGGATAGACATTAGGAAGTATGGATTTGCTCAAAGGGTAATTCACTCAGACAGGAACAGGTTGCCAGGAACAGTGATAGAGGCCAGGACACTAGACTTGCTTAAAAAAAAAGTTTGATGCTTTCATGGTGAGGACGTTAGGGTGGGTGTTCTGGAGGGATGAAATCAGAAGGGCTGAAGGGACTTCTTCATCCAAACCAATCTTGATGTCTCAAAGTGCTTCACAGGATTTTGCTGTGAAGTGCAGTGACTGTGTATTTTTTAGGCAAATACCTATAGGGTCTTTCACATTGCAAGGATGTCTCAATGGGCTTCACTGTAAAGTGTGGTAACTGTGTGTTTTGTAGGCAAACGTAACAGTCAATTTGCGCACAGCAGTGTCCATCAAACAGCCGTGAAGTGAAAATAGCGTTGTCTTAAGGCAAGAAGGACTTACGGGCTAAAATAAGGTGAAATTTCAGGCCTTTTATGGCTGACAAGTAATGCATCATGGTGCGTTAGCTAACCGTTATATCCTTCCAACTCGTACAGATCGTGCAATGATTTTGTTTTCAGAAACTAGGAATCAAAGTGCAGTGTGCGGCTAGAGTTAGCCTTTGGTTATTTTATTCAAGGAAACATTAGCGAGTATCACTATCTAGCCTCCTGGTTTGAGGTACATTTCCTCGTTCGACCCTTAGCATGTGCTGTTCAGAGATAGGGCAGATCAATTGGAAGCCTTTACCTGCTGAAGCATGCTGATAAAAAGGGTATAAGCTGCCCGACCACAGGATCTGAACAAAGTGCTGTAATTGGAATCTCTCACTGAGCAAATAATACCACCCAGCAGAAATATAAATGTACCTCTCTTGTGGTTTCTCTTTGCATGCTCAAACATTTTTTTTGGTCAGCCGGATGTCCGAGATTCCAGAGATTCACATTTGGAAAGGAATGCACAATCTCTTCCTGGAGGAACGCATCCTGCTTACCTAATTCTGGAAATTACTAGGCACAGATTGGCAAGAGCCAAGGCTTGGGGACCCCTGATTGTGCGTTGGGGTAACTGCTGGAGTCTAACCAGCTAAAACCGCGTAACTTGCCATTGATATCACCATCTGGCAAGCTTTCCCGCTGCTTGTCCAGCTAGGAACACCCTATACATTAGAGCTTTGGCTTGCAGGACTAAAAAGAGCGAAGTGGGATAACCCCCTGCCACCAATTACGATCGACTCTTGCATGTCCTGCTGATGAGCCAGGCTCGCTGCGCTGTCATGAGCAGTGCCCTGGAGTTATTGCCCTTCACTGCTGAGGCATCCACTTATAAGGCTTCTAATAGACTCACGGGTGATCGATCTGCTGAGTTGTTAGCGATCTTGGCTTTGAGTCATAAGATATCGGAGTCCTGTAGCTCAGTGGTTAGAGCGCTCGCTTTGCAAGCGAGAGACCTGGGTTCGATTTGCGGCAGGGTGAAACCTTGTGCAAATTTCCTTACTCCACATGCCTGCTATTAATACCTCAAAAAAAAAATTAGTCATTTCAATCTACGACTGTTTTGTGGGCACTGCTGTGTGCAATTGGCTGCTGTGTTTCGCCCACAAATATACAGTCAATTCACTTTACAGTATATTCTGTGAAGCGCTTTGAGACGTCTAGAAGACGTGAAAAGCGTTATATCAAATGCAAGGATTATTATTGTTGTAAGGTTGTGAGTTCAAGTCCAAAGTCGGGAATTTGTGAGTCACTGTCTAAGCTGACACTCCAATACAGCACTGGAGGAGCACTGCATTGTCAAAGGTGCTGTCCTTCGGATGAGATGTTAATCTGAGCTCCCCATTTGTGCCTGTTCAGGTGGACGTTAAAGATCCTGTGGTGCTATTCAAAAAGAGAAGGGAGTTTCTCTTGGAGTCCTGGCCAACAATCCCCAGATAAAATTGGTCGCTCACTTCATGGCTGTTTGTGGACCATTGCTGTGCGCAAATTACAAATTAAATGTAGTCTTCATTGTGAAACAGATTTTGTGTAAGTCTGATCGACCACTACAGAAAATCTCCTTCAAAACTAAGATTAAATGTAAGATACTGTTAAATTTGTCACATAATTAAATGCTAAGAAAATAGTGTAAGTCTAGTCTAAACCCAGGTGAAATTTCTTACAATAAAATAATCTTTGCATTTGATACAGCACTTTATAAAGTTGACGAGATGCTTCGCAGTATTTCGGGGCTGGGAAGTTGGTGACTCTGCACAGGCTGCTGTAATATTCCCCATACAAGGAGTTACCTATACGCTCACTATACAGACACGTGTCTAGCCCTCCTTGGTATGCAGCACTCGTCCCTTTGCTTTCAGTCCTGGGGTTAGTAGTCAGGGGAGTGATTTGCTGTAAATTCAGTGGGTGGTTCAGGCTGGGAAGAAACAGAGCCCTTTGATGACATGTTGTGACAATGAATAGGAAGCTGCTAAAAATTCATGACCAGCAACTTTGGTGCCAAGAAACAAAAAATGTTATGGTTTAGCTGATACCCCCAGTGGCGACACACAGCTTGCCAAATGGAAAATAAAACTGCACATGTTTTCCTCTAAGTCTTTATAACCTAAGACATCAAACTCAAGGGGGATGTGTCAGCCCATTTCTGTCCATTCTGACTGAGTGCAGCTCTCCATGCACTGCAACTTCCTTACTTTCCTTACTAAATTGTCTGTGGGACACTGCTGTGTGCAATTAGCTGCTGCTTGTCGCTCACAAAAATACAAAGTCACTCCACTTTAAATCCTGCCAAGGGTTCTGCGATGCTAGTTTATGCGAAGGCTGCTATATAAATGCATGTTATTGGTGTTGCCATCAAGCCTATCTAATGCCCTACCTATGGTCATCGCCCCACCCTCCCTTCTCCCTCGCTTGTCGTCCATCCAAGATGTTATTCTACATTAAGGGAGAATATAAATTCAAGTTGTTGTTGTTGTTGCATCATTTATTGGGTCTCAAAGCGTTGGCTCCCACCATCCTGTACCTAGTAATCTCTGGAATTAGATAAGCAGGGTGCATCCCTCCAGGGAGAATGCGCATTACAGACAGAGGGATATTACCATGTGTAGGTGGCATACATACATGGAACGCTGTCTAGTTTGGATACTGTTAAGCATGGTGGCGGGTTTTTGTATGTGTCAGACATGAGTGCTCTACAGGGGGATCCAACAGAGGTGTTTAAGATTATAAAGGTGGACATTAATACACTATCTTCACTTGTTGGTTGGTGCAAATATAAGCTAGCCAGTTGTAGGTCTGAGAGGGAGTTGCAGAGGAACTTCCTTGTCCAGAGGGTAGTGAGAAAGTGGAGCTCACTGCCGGGAACTGTGGTTGAAACAAAGAGAATCAATGTATTTAAGAGGAAAACTGGTGCAAAGATATGAGAGAAGGGGATTTGAGATAGCGGATTTGGAGAAGAAGAGGCTTATTTGTAGTATAAATGCCAGCATGGACTAGTTGGGCTGAATGGCATGTTTCTACTGTATCATTTTTTCTAGTTTTGTGTAATCTTGCTGATGAAGAAATGGTGCTGGCACACTAATCATATTGTGTATCAGCCTGGCTCACTGTCATCCTGGAATCAGAAGGTTGTAGGCTCAAGCCTCATGTCAGAAACCACAATGTAAGCTGACACTCTAATGCAGTGCTGGGGGGCGGCAGTTGTTGCACTGTCAGAGTTGTGGCCTTCGGATGAGACGTTAAGCAAAAATCCCATCTGCCTGTTCCAGTGGACGTTAAATATCCCGCGGCGCTATTCGAAAAGAGAAGGGAGTTTCCCCCGGTGTCCTGTCCTGGCCAACAACTTCCCCCCCGCCTCCCACCCACCCTCAAAAAAAGTAAATAAAATTGGTCGCTCACTCCAACCCTGTTTGTGGGACATTGCTGTGTGGAAACTGGCTGCTGTGTTTCACCCCCACACAAAAAAACAGTCACTTCACTTTACAGTATATCCTGTGAAGCTTCTCTGAGACATCTCGATGACGCTATTTGCACTATATCAAATGCAAGGCTTCATTATTTATTTATATATATATATATATATTTGTTTGTTTGTTTATTTATTTATAACCGCATCTGTCAATCCCACATGACCAATGGTGTTCATGCCCTTTACTGTTTACTTTCACTGCGCTGTCTCTATCCCAGTCACTCACTATGCTTGTTGCATAACAATAAGACAAAACGCTGTT